TCAGTGGCCTTGCAAGTACCAAAGCAGGTGTTGCTATCCTCTTCAATAATAAGTTTACCTTCAAGGTTTTGAGGCAAATATGTGATAAGGAAGAAAGGTGCATTATTATTGATTTAGAAGTTGGTGAGCTAATCTTAACCATCTGTAATATTTATGCTCCTAACAAAGACGACCTTATTTTCTTTCAAAATGTATGTTGTTACGCTCTACTGTTGATGGAAGTGGATATTTGCGAAGGAAGGATGCAACACGCAAATCTAATCTATGCTACTTTAATAATCAACTCTCAACCTCCATTGCGTGCTAACCTATGTTATGTACGACACACGAAATGTACCTTACAAACACTATATCCCTTTTCTTTTCAGTAAAACCATAACGATCTTAAGAAGATGTCGACACAACGGAGAGTCAACTAAAAACCTAGTACAATTAAAACTCATAAAACGGCTGGCCACAAAATTATTAATTCTCCTCTTTGAACTATAATGGTCTATGATAACATTAAATCACAACAAAGTTTCTAATAATGGCACTCAAGTCAAAACATAGTCCTTGATAATGACACTCAAGTCATAACAAAGTCTTAAAATCTTTCCGGCGGTTCCCTGACTCTCATTGATCTTGTCACAACCGGGCTTCTCCATTCTTCTCGTTTTGCTTCCGGTTTCACAGGATCAGCAACATCAACAAATGAAGTTGTTTCCCCAGGGTTCTGTGATGTCTCCTCATACTTCTTTACATGGGTTGTGTTTCGCATCAGTTGAACGCCGTCTGGTGGTTCAACAACAACACTGTTTCCAGTTTTGGTCATAACATCATAAGACTCAGATGTTGTTTTTTCATTCTTGTTTTACTAACACTTGATTACCTGGAGCTAGGTAAGACTCCTGGGTATTCCTCTTCTTGTTTGCATACTGTTTGGTTTTGGTTGTCATTTCGCCATCTCTGTCTCGCATCTCACTCTCTGAGCCCTCCTCTTTCAGTTCGGGTAATTTAGTACACATATTTCTGCCAAACAAGAGTTCTGCTGGGCTCACACCTGTAGTAGTGTGAGGGGTTGACCTATATGCTACCAAATATTTGTGCGCCTCTTTCTTCCATTCTTTCCCCTCAGCTTGAGCTATTTTCATCCGTTTGCTTGTGCCCACAATGGTGTGGTTTTCCTGTGCTCTATACCATTATCCTCCAAATACTGCTCAAATACTTCTGATCTGAATTGTGGACCATTGACACTTTGAAGTGATTGAGGTAGTCCATGCGTGGTGAAGACTTTCTCCAAACACTCTATGACTTTCTCTGACGTTGTGGAGTGCATGATTTCCACTTCATAGTATCTGCTGAAGTAATCAATGATGACTAAGACAGATTCTCCTGAAGGTAATGGGCCTGACAGGTCGATGGCCAAATCTTGCCATGGGCCACTTGGTAATGGGGTCGACTTGATTGGCTCTGGGTTTGCTGGGCTGCTTACAAGCTGAGACCCATGAGAGGTTTTGGAAAACTTTTCAGCTTCCCTGTCGATTCCAGGCCACCAAACTTTTGATCAAAACCTCTGCTTCATACTGACAATTTCTGGGTGTCCTTCATGGGCAACGCTCAATACTTGAGGTTTCAGCTCACTCAGTATGACAATCCTGGTACCATGAAGAATCAGCTTGCCAGTAACACACAGTTCGCCGCATATTGGTATGTACTGCTTATGCTGATCACCTTTCCAGTTCCCATCCTTAATGTACTGACGTAGTTTCACAAACTCTCTGTCTTCTGATGACGCTTCTTCAATTTCACATGTTGTCATCGCTTGAGGAGTGGTAGTTGCTGTGACGAACCTGACAAATTCATCCAACGCCTTGCACTGATGAAGATTCTGCTTGCCCATCCACATGCCACAAGTGTGATAGCAGGTCAGCAATATTCTGCTCTCCAGGTAAGTATTTGACTTGGAATTTAGATGGCTGTAATCGCAGGATCCATCTTTCAATTCATGCACATGGCTTGGATCTGCTTGAGTAGATTGTTTCCAATGGCTTGTGATCAGTATACATTGTGAATTCAATGCCGTATAAGTACACATGGAATCGCTCACATGCCCACACAACGGCTAAGGCTTCTTTTTCTGTTTGCGAATTATGCCTTTCCACAGCACTTTTAACTTTCCCACACCTTCAAAGATTTCTTTGTAATCAGACATGATTGTCTCATTAGATGTCACAATGCAGATCTGTCTGTCAATCTTGTCTTGCTTTAACTTTAACCACAGATTTTTGTCAATCACATAAGTGCTTGCACCCGAATCAATCAACATCACAACTACAACTCCACCCACAGTCATATCTATTTTCTCAGGTGGCGTAGCAGAATTCACAGTAAATGCATACTCATCTTCATCTCTCTCACTTCTCACATACATGACTGACTTCTTTGTCTTCCTTCCTTTTGTTTTCTCTTCCCGTCTAGGTTTGGGAGGTTTGGCTGTTTTCGTTTTACACTGCGAACCAAAATGGTCAACTCCTCCACACTTATGGCAATTTTTCCTTTCGCAGGGCACTCAGGGTCTAATCCAAAATGTTCTATTTTCCACATCTGTAGCGTGCTCGCTTGGCAGGCTCCTTCCCTTTGTCTTCCTGCTTGCAATGGACAAAATTCACATCCTTTTTGCCTTCCATATTTTCCAGTTGTGACTGAACTCGCTCATGATTTGCTGCAGTCCAAAGTAACAGCTCTTGAAAATGATATAGCGGCTCTCAAAAGGCAGCTGAAGAACTGTATAAACAACGACAAAGAAGCTCTTGCTGAACAATTGAGGGTGAAGAAAAGGAAATTAGAGAGCATTATTGAGTACAAAACAAAAGGAGCGATAATTAGATCCAAAGCGAGATGGTATAATGAAGGTGAGAAAAATAACAAAAATTCCCTTGGTCTAGAAAATAGCTACTGCAAAAAAAAGACAATTATGCAAATCAAGGCAAAGGATGGAGCAAATCTTACAAATGACTCAGATATTCTGAGAGAGTGTAACTCTTTTTATAGTCATCTTTACACAACCAAAAGTACCAAAATAACAGAACATTCGGAGAAAACGTTTTTTGGCTATGAACACCACAAACTCAACGAAATGGATAAGAAAAAATGCAAGGGTCTCTTAACTGAAAAGAATGTCTAGACGCTGTCAAGTCAATGAAATCTGGTAAATCGCCTGGTACAGACGGTCTCCCTGCCAAATTTTATAAAGTTTTCTGGAAAGATGTATCTCCTTTTCTTATAAGTTCCCTTAATAGAGGCTATCAAAAAGGAAAACTAGCCATAACTCAGAGGAGGGGTATCACTTCTTTGATCCCGAAAAAAGACAAAGCATTAAATGAATTGAAGAATTGGAGGCCATAACCCTTCTTAACTGTGATTACAAAATTGCATCAAAAGTGATCGCCTCTCTTCTCAAATATCTGTTGTCAGATCTAATAGATTATGATTAGACTGGCTTTCTGAAAGGCCGTTCTATTGCAGAAAATATTTGTTCGATCAATATAAGTTATTGACCAGACAGGAGGTTCGTACTGGGAAAAACTGTGTCCGAGGTTTTGGATTCCACCCGAGGCCATACACAAGACAGAGGGCACAGTTTTTCCCAATATGGACCAATCTTGGCTGGTGAATAACATTTTCAATTTTTTCTAAAACCGACCAAATGGTTGTGAAAAGAACCTGAATGATAAAGGGCTGTTTAAGCTGCGAAACAATTTATGAGTGAGTAGATAGTAGAGAAAACAAGGGCAATGCAAATGAAAGAGAGAGATTTCATCAAAACGTATTTATTTGCATGATATTAAAAGGTGATTTAAAAAGCTTCCAAGAAAATTTCAAAACATTTTTTCAAAAGTGTCTGTCACGATCTGACACGTGTCAATTTAAGAGCGCATAGGGACAAATCACACGCGCATTTTTTAACAAAAAACAGTTCTGTTTGTCAGCATGCAAACAAATTCAAGCTAAATGACTCTGCAATGATGAAGTCTTCAATGAAAAAAGTTAAAGGATCCAAAGGAAAGTATTTTCCGAAGACAGCGGATTAAGTTCAGTCAACTAATCAGAATCAGAATCAGAATCATCGCTGACGATAATTCTTCTTTTCTTGGGCTTCGAGGACTTTGGGCTTTCTTCTTTTTCACAGGTGCAAACTGTGTGTTGGAGGGCTTCAGGGTTTTCAGCATTAAATTCACCGGTATTAAACAACAAATCTTTTTTGGTGTAGGATAGTTCTTTTGCAGCTGAGGGCGATTTCCTTTCACTTCTTCAAAAACCAGCTGTTTCTTTTTAGAAAGAAGAACTTCCCTGGACTTAAGGAATTCTTGGTCTTTGAGAATGTTCAGCTTGGAGTTCTTGTCATTTAGATATCGTTGCAGGCTTCTTTGAAATGATTGTAGCATTGCCAGCTCCTACAATCCGCCATCCTTCTTCTTTATATCCATCAGGAACTGACATATCTAGATGTTGAGCTTGTCTGCCGGTATTTCTTCAATTTTCCTGGCCTCGCCCACTTCAAGAAAGAATCTTTTCCAAACGTGTAGGTCGTATTCTGTTTTTTTCCACTGTGTTTTCTGGACATTGTGTTAAAATATACTTTTGCATACTCACCATTGTAAACTGAGCCTTTTATTGGTTTTCCTTCTGTTGTGAACCGATATTTTCTTTGTCTCTGAATTTTTCTACCTCACCAGGGTAATAAAACTCGCTCTTGTTGTGGTCTGAGTCCATGCCAAAATTAATATTTGCTGTAAAAAGTGAAAAGTTTACACATTAAGTATCAAATTAGTAAATGAAAAGTTGCAATGACGCAATTGGTGTAGTCTCATAATGCAAAGGATTGGATACCGCCCACTGTGACCAGGCCAAATGGGGAGAATACTACCTTCTCTCGGAACCAATCAGATAGTAGGATTTGTAGAATACCACCCGCTCACAAACTGAGAAAAAATAAATAATGTTATTTCCTATACCCACTTGAAAGATATTCCTGGATTACTCCTGTTCATCGACTATTTAAAAGCATATGATACTATTGAATGGACTTTCTTGTGGAAAATACCAGAGCACTTTGGTTTTGGTTCGTTTTCAATTAATTGGATAAATTTATTTTACTGTGATATCCAAGCAGTATAATAAATAATGGATGGTTGGGGAGTTTCTTTAGCTTAGGTAGAGGTGGTAAGGCAGGGCTGCCTCCTCTCGCCTTACCTATCTATTCTCAGTGTTGAGGTATTAGCTACAGCTATTCGTGGAGACAATGAGATAAGAGGAATCTCTGTGAGAAATGTCAAGTGTAAATTAAGTCACTATTAGATGATTCACAGGCATCACTTGAGAGGTGTTTTGCTTTGTTAGACAGTTTCGGTCAACTGTCTGGCCTTGGTGTAACCTGAGAAAAACCAAGGTTCTCTGGATAGGATCAAAGAAAGGGTCAAATCAAATTATGTGCCCAGAAAAAAACTTGAAATTTGCGGAAATTAGCGGATGGTAAAGTCATAAGTCATGTCTTTCCTGTACACATTACTAGATGAAGAGGAGCACTAAACAGTGACAGACAGCCCCCATCTTACCAATACCAGTACAAGATACTTTTGATTGGGTAGCTGTTGATTGCCTGGGTCAACTTCCTGTGAGTGACTCAGGAAATCGCTACATTGTTTTGTTTTCTGACCATCTGACCTGTAACCCAGGAGCCTTTGCAGTATTTATAAATGATGCCCTGACAACACAGACACAGACTTGTTGGCTAATGAAATTTTGCCCTAGAGTATGATAAGTCTGGCATGAGAAAAACATTTTTCCTAATAGTTTGAAGATGACAATCAACCCTCACCAACTAATTTTCTTCAATGACACAAAGTTAGTCTGTATCCACACCGATTTGAAAGTGCTCCCACTAGGAGTCCTTCCAGAGCCTAATATAACATGTAATCCCATTCAAGTGGCATTTTACGCAAATGCTTTAAACTTCATCACTAGCCTCCACTGCATGACACACCGCTTATATTCCTTGCAAGGGATGACTAGTCTTTTGGAATGTGGTGGTTTTCTTTGCTGTTTTTACATTTACTCCACCAGAATCCCCTCGCAGATGTTTTGTCTTACACGCCATTATGCCAATAGTTTGCAGGAATACAAATCATGGGCATGTGCTACCTGCCATATGTCGGCACCTGATGAACTCATGTGGTTGCAGCTCCGTCAAAGACACGGTCCTCTTATGTGCTGTGTGGGAGTTTTTGGCCTATTCCGGGCATTACACCATGTTTTTACCAGGTAAAGTTGTGATACCCCACAAGGCCCTAACCTTTGCTGTTATTTATTTTTTTGCTGTTCTGATTCTCTTTAGTCACACTCGCCAACCACGCCAACCATTGCAAAAACTATTTCTTTGTGAACTCATGGAACCACCAAACAAGACTAACCACATTTCACGTTATTTAATTTCGCACTTTTCAGTTTTCATCCTCACCTTTCACATTTGTTATTCCCTTTGTTGACCACCCTTTGTCTATTCTTCTATAAAGTTCACTCCTTTTCCCTTCCCTCTCACCTGTAATCTCCAATTTGCTGGGCTACTCATATTTTGGACAAAGCCTCATTAACTTCTTTCATTCACAATGGCCAGATATATTGACGTGATTGTCACTGTAGATGGTTTCCAACATGGGGAGGAAGAGTTTATCTTACAAGCCATGGCCATGGTTTTGTTGAAGATCTCCTTCCAGTGGTCCCAGATCTACCAGACTGCGTTCCTCATGTATCACCCCTTCACAACTTGAACACTTACAAGATTCAAGAAAACCTTTGTGGTCACTCCATAAACACTCCAGGAGCTGCGCAGCACAGGGTGCTGGACCATTTGTGCTGAGCCTTGTGTCAGATACAACTGACCTGGGTGAAATAGACGTGTCTACCGTTCCCACCAGTTTGCATCTGGACGAAAGGCCACATCAATTCGTATTTCATTGTGACTCCTCTTCCTGGTACATGCCAGAAGTAAAGAATGTAGAAAACCTGGGATCCCTAGCCATCCAGCAGCTGTTACTGGACTGGGAGTATACAACTCCTGAACATTGGCAAAGGCCATCTGCCTCACTGCTCGGGTTGAAGAACATTCACCCCACAGACAGCAGTACACAATGCAATTTTTTTATCGTCAAGAACTCTGGACTACTCTTCATTTGCCTTGCTATATTTAACTCAATTACATTTTTGTATTTGCTTCTTGTTCTTTTGAACCCCCCAAGGCCATTACATGTCGGATTGTTCGGTTTATGCTGCAGCTCAGGCACAAAACAAAACTAAAAAATAAAAATAAAAAACAACAAAAGTAACCATCATACGTTTTCTTCGCTGTGTTTTTAGGTTCCTTGATAATGATTTCTTTTGTGTTGGTTTACTATGCCTTCTGCCTTTCCCCTCGACCAGGTGGTCTTGATTTAAGGTGGGAGGAATTTAACGATAGGACTTTTAGTTATCAAGTTTGTATGCTAGCGCTAAAAAATATATAAAAGTCAACGTGGAAACTGCAAGATTTTGCTAAGTTCAGCATGCATAAAGGATAGCGGTCCCAAAACAGTCAGCCATAGACAGTTGTTATTAGATTATGTGTAATTAGTGTTAAACTGTAACCAGTTATAATAATAATAATAATAATAATAATTTATTAGTTGTATAGCCCTATTTACATGTACAGATCAATAGTGCTTTACACTGAATAAAAATTTACAATAATAATGGTAGCTAAAAATATATAGGAATAAATTCTTTTAATGTAATATATCTGAGTTAATGATTACTAAATGCTTCATTAAACAGAAACGTTTTAATAACTTTTTTAAATTTATCCAAACATTTAATCATTCTAATTTCATAAGGAAGTCTGTTCCATAAGTATGGTGCTGCTGCCTGAAAAGACCGAGCTCCAAATGTCTTCAGCATCTTACCCTTAGGGGGCTCTAAGTAAAGACCGTCATTAGATCGAAGACAATAAGAAGATTTTGATTTAATAGATATAAGGCTGTTAATATATGACGGAGCTAAATTATGAACCGCTTTAAAAGTAAGTAGAAGAATTTTAAATTTAATGCGAGCCTGGATTGGAAGCCAGTGTAACTCATATAGAATAGGAGTAATATGCGAGTACCTTCCAACGTTCAATAGCAGTCTTGCGGCTGCATTCTGTACACGTTGTACTTTAGCTATCAGTTCCTTTGAGGCACCATACAAAAGACTGTTACAATAATCTAATCTATTCGTTATAAACGCATGAACTAAAGTATGGAGACTGTCTTCGCGTAAATATTTCTTAATGCTTCTAATGTTATGAAGATAAAAGAATGCAGATTTGCAAATATTTGTAATATGCTTAGACATGCTTAGGTTAGCATCCAACCAACAGCCTAGATTTTTAACCTCGGAGCTATTATTAATTACCGAGTTGCCAACGGAGATACTGATTGGCTGTAGTTTAGATAGTTGTTGTTTGGAGCCTATTAAAATCAGTTCAGTCTTGCTATCATTAATTAACAGTCTATCATGAATCATCCACTTCCTGATCTTTTCAATACAGTTCTCGATTGCTTGCAAGACTTGGTCTTGAGATGTAGTATTAGGTTTAAAACTCAGATATAACTGGGTGTCATCAGCATAACAATGAGCACAAGGATGCTCGTGTTCAATGATCTTAAAGAGCTTAGATGCATATATAATAAATAGAATCGGTCCAAGACACGACCCTTGAGGAACTCCACAGCCTAAATCGAATGGGTTAGATATTGATCCCTCGATGTCGACTTTTTGCATCCTGTTATGGAGATATGACTCAAACCAGCTCAGGGCAGAATCAGCAATACCTAATTCTTCGTGTAGACGTCTGATCAGTATATCATGATTAACAGTGTCGAAGGCGGCACTAAGATCCAACATGACAAGAAGAGTGATCTCTTGTGAATTCATCTCCATTAAGATATCATTAACAACTCGAAGAAGCGCTGTTTCGGTACTATGTCCTTTTCTATAAGATGATTGCATTTCTGGATAAACAGAATTGTCTATCATGTGTAAATGAAGTTGATTATACACAGCCTTTTCGGTGAGCTTCGATATGTATGGCAAATTACTAACAGGTCTGTAGTTACTAAGAAGTGGATCAAGACCAGCTTTTTTGAGCAACGGCTTAACAAGTGCACATTTCCAGACATCAGCAAACACACCATCCACGAGGGATAGATTTATCATTTTTGTGATCACGGGAAGCAGGACATCAATGCAGCTAAAAACCAGTGAGGTGGGCATCGGATCAAAAGAACAGCTTTTCTTTGCGCTACCTTCGATAAGTTTCCGTACTTCGAGTTCAGAAAGTGCTGTAAATTTACTAAATTTGGGGGTTGGTGACAATGTACAGTTTAAAAGCGGGTCAGTGGAAAGATCTTGAGCC